CTCGATTCTCGCGAACAATGTATGACTCAACGAATGATGAAAACGTCTCTCTCTCTCTCTCTCTCCCCCCCCCTCCCTCTCCCTCTCTCGGTTGATTAATTGTTCAGTGGAACCCGTAAGTTTTCCGAATGGGAGAGAAGACTGCAATAAACCGTAACAAGTATGTAATGAGTACGCATTGTGTGTCTCTTCTAGATTCCTACGATAATTCGTATGATTACATGAACTTTCTCTAAAATGAAGATTTCGAAGGCCGCGCGACTACTCGAGAGAGGAGAGGTCGTGTTGTTGCTGTTACGTAGAGAAATTCGCCACTCGTATGTTATTACACTTTCTCAAGTTTGCCATCTTATTTGGATGGAATTTTCTAATTTGTACCTCAGCGCGCTGTAGTCTGAAATGACAACTTTTGGATAGTGATCAGTGTAGCGATCGAGTAGATGTAAAATGAATGGTAATGCGACGATTTCGTCGCGAAAGAGAAAGTAGGTACTTGTTGCTTCCGTAAAAGAGAATCGTACGCATCTGTTCTGTCGTGACCTAACGAAATGTCGAATCTCGTTCCAAGTTTTCAGTGGAAAACCCAATGGCTCGGATAGGAAGGCTGATACATTTTTTCGCGATGCGGCTTTCTCAATCTCGCAATTTCGTTCGCGATGTAGCGAGACGTTTCCGATGACCACCATCCGTGGAGGATCGTAGAAACAGCGGATGGGCGGATGGTCGTGAATCAGATTGCATTAAGAAAAGGCGTTATTCCTCTGAGAAATGAGCCGCGCGGGGAAGGTTGTTTGCACCAAGTACGCGCGCGTATTTCACAACTCGCCGATGCTCCGAATTCCTTGATCACTGTTCCGTATCGCGTGCGCACGAGGAACGGCGAAAACGGCTAGGCTTCAAACGAAGGTGGTGTACAACCGCGTACGCACGAAACGGAAAGCGTGGAGAATCTAATGATGTTTCTTTCGAAACGGGTCAAGACTCTATTCTCACTCCAATCATTACGTCCCACAAGTTGCGTATCAATTTGTCATTGCATCTTATTTATTTCGTCGAAGAGATCGCGACCGACGCGCCGATCGAGTCAACGCTTTGGAATGCGTTTCGCATTTTTATGTCGTTTATATCCGCAAGCAGGTCTCCTGACGAATCATAATTAAAACGATCTAAACATGGAAGATGGTCCGATATTGTCCAAATTCCCTGGACGTTTAGTACTACGACGAAAATGGATACGCGAGAAAGAGAAAGGAAGAAAAGAATGCGGTGAGCTCGGCTGAACAACATTGCTCACATGACGCGCAGACTATTTTAGGATCAAGGGTCCGAATAATGCGTCAAAAAATCAGGTCGTCTCACTTTCTATCGTGAGTAATAAAGAAAAAGAAGAAAAAGGTTTTCGCCCATTTTGAGGAATCTCTTGTTGTCGAGTGGGTTTCGTTAATGATTTCATGAATGTCGTGCGCGATCGCGAGAGATCGCAATTGCAAGTACCTTTCGAAGTTATAGATAGGCTCAGTCGGACGAAACCTAATTCAAGATGGAAGCAACGATCCGTCCGCATTCTCGTGTGCAGTGCTGAGAACAACGACAAACAAAGACATGATTACGAGGAATTGCGCTACTTGATATTGCGAATTGAGCAGCGCTCCTTCGGTGCACCACGAAGCGGTCATTTGCCGTCTATTAGACTTAACGATAAGTCCTAGTGTTAATACTGTTGGCGCAATTTTATTGTACGTTGCGCGCGCGTAACATGTGTGTGTGTGTAGACACACACATATATATATATATCGCACTACTACATGCCGAAAATAAACATAGGCTCGTTCTCGTAATCATTATCCATCGATCATTACCCATGCAAATAGAGTTCTACCGAGTGCCATATTCACGATATTCGCAGTATTTTCGAGCAGTAGGTAGGTTACGGTCGACCGCGCTGAGGCGACACAGTGAGGAAAATTGTAGCGGAAAGAATGAGTTCTTGTATATTTTGCAGATATAGGCAGGATGTGCATTTCAATGGATTATTTTCCGATCTCTTCGGATCAATCTAGGTGCGGGTGTAGATGTTGGAGCGAATCGTACATGTACTCACATGATATTTGAATGTCCGCAATTTTCGCCGGTAATTTGTCAAGTTTTTGCGCTTTGTCGCGCTTATTCGACAGACAATCGTACGTTAGCGCTAGTGAGAAAAATCGCCTCGCTGATAATCGTGATGGCGTGCTCCAGCGTGATGCAAAAGGGCTCGACTTACCTTCTGGACGAGCAGAGACGACGAGCGTGCACAGGAGCAGCAGGCGCAAAAGGAGGACCTGGCTGCGCGAGGTTGCGCGTCGCACTAGCGACATCCCTTCGCAATATTCCGTATGCTAGCGTGTACTCGCGCGCGCGATACGATCCTCGACTCGTCAGCTCATCGCGCGCGACCCATCGAACGGATCTTGCCTCGCGTGCGTCTGTCGCGAGCCGTCGATGCCGTTAACCGCGCACAACAAGTGGCATCATCATCGCTGAACGGCGTGTTCGCGAGCACGGCGCGTTTGTCACTGACGAACGGATAGAAAACAAAATCCCACTTTCACTCGACTGTACGCGCAAGGCGAGGCGGAGCTGGCACGTCGAGGCCGCCGGGATCCTCCGCCACGTTCTCCCTTCCAACGTTGCCCCGCCGTTCCCTTGTGAAATCCCCCTCTCCGGGGCGGATCTCACCGGTTTGGTGCATATGAAAATGATTGCGGACTATCGACAGGG